CCTGTACTGGCCCCTCCCATCTCTGTGTGGAGCGACAGACTAATGCCCACAATTCTAAAGTGCTTTGTGACTCTGGTCTGTGAAAGGCGCTATATAAATAAAGATTACTTACTGTTATTGAAATTTGATTTGTCCTTGAGAGGGTGAAACAATCTTTGGAATCAGGGCCACCTGTCAGTCAATCACTTATCAGGCCATTCTTGTAAGTTGTTGCTAATAAGTTAGATTTTTCAGCTCGTAAGCCTCTCTGAACAGCACTTTGTATTAGCTCGTTTTGACTCATCTGAACCTGTGCCAGTGTAGCTGTGTTGTTCATTTCTGTAATACGCATGTGTGTATCCTGCCAGTTTGTGCGTCGGCTCTGCCCCTGGAGGGAACATTCCAATGATTTGATCCCAAAATGTTCTAAACTGCTATTTTTCCAAAGTAATTGGCTGTGAGGTAAGTGGTTCTCTTGTGTTAGTGAGTGTGGGAGTGCGTATGAGTGAATCACCGGAGATGTCCTCCACCTGCTCCTGCACCAACTCTGGAATGGACTGTTTGGAATATATTTAGTCACTGCTACAATTTTGACCTAAAAGTTGATAGCTGGAAATAAGATCATTGAAGTAGATAAGCGCTTCAGTGAGTGGGCTGTAGTTTAGGACGCCGCTGATGGCAACATTTGGGAGACTGGTGGAAAAGGTGGGCATGCCTGATTTACAACATGACTCCACAGCTGGAACGTGGAGCGGGGGAATAAGAAAGACTTCAAATGTGGCGGCGGCAAACTCAGGCACTTCACCCACATTACCAAGTTCATTTCAATTCAATTTATTTTTGTATTGCCTTAAATCGCAACAGGAGTAACCTCGGCCGACTTTACAAAGCTGTCAGTTTGCCAACACAGATCAGAGATTCAAACAGACTCATTCTAATGTGGGGGAAGTGTCTTGCCCAAGGACACAGTGACGGTTTAGCACTTCACAGCCGCTGCCGCCCCACTGTGGCACCTGCTGTTCCCAGAGGTCTCCCATCACAGTCCTAACCAGGCCCTGTCCTGCACAGCTTCAAAGCTCTGATGGGATCTGGTTTTTGCATGCAGGCTTTCTTAGACCAGTGTCAAACTCATTTTGATCAGGGGCCGAATAAAAAGACTAGAAACGGGGCCGAAGGAATAGAAGGGACTTTATTTTTTTTTAATTGTTAATTACACAATGGCGGTATTTTGACATTTTTCTCAAACAAAATGTGTTTATTGTTTAGATTTAACCAAAACTGGATCAAATTTAAAAGTAAACACATTGTCCATCATCCATTTTCTTCCCCTTAATCCATTTCTGGGTCAGAATGTACTGATGTGGCTGCAGCTGTGTCTCTGTCAACAGACACACAGACAGACAGACAGACACACAGACAGACAGACAGACAGACAGACAGACGCACACAGACAGACAGACGCACACAGACAGACAGACAGACACACAGACAGACAGACACACAGACAGACAGACAGACACACAGACAGACGCACAGACACACAGACAGACATACGCACACACTCACACACTCACAGACAGACAGACAGACAGACAGACGCACAGACACACAGACAGACACACAGACAGACACACAGACAGACAGACAGACACACAGACAGACAGACGCACGGACACACAGACAGACACACAGACACACAGACAGACACACAGACAGACAGACAGACAGACAGACAGACAGACAGACAGACAGACAGACAGACGCACAGACACACAGACAGACACACAGACACACAGACAGACACACAGACAGACAGACAGACAGACAGACAGACAGACACACAGACAGACACACAGACAGACGCTGATGGGTTTTTCTTTTCGCACAGTTCTCTGTCAGTGAGACACACTTAATTCACGTTTCTCAAAGTAATATTTCTTGTTTACACCTCGTGCTTGTACCTTTGCTAACAGTGCGCCTGATTTCACCTTTTACCTTTGCTTTCTCTTGTGACGATCACTGAGTCATCAGAAATACAGACGTCACCTTCACTGCTGCTCCTCGTACACAGTCGCTCCAAACTCTTCAGGGAGAATTCAAACTGATTTGTGCACTGTGTGAATGAACTTATCTTTAAACTGTATTCAACCATCATCCTGAGTTTCTCCTGTGGGGATCAATACAGTATCTACAGTTTATCTACATATCTGTCTATTGGTCTATCTATATATCCACCTTTCTATCTGTCTATATATTTGTCTGTCATAGATAGATTAATTTTGTATTCATCGTAGCTAAAACAAACAGCAATACAGATTTTGAAAAGGGGTTGAATGAAGCAGACATCAGGCCCAAACACTCTCTGACCCTACACCTGCTCTGTGCCGAGAAAACTGCTCCCTCTCCTTTACGCGTTTCCTGGTCAACGCTGAAAAATAAGCCTTGCATGTCAGCATCTTTTTCACTCCAGATGTTTGTTAAGTTTTTGAAAGTATTAAAACATGTGTTTCTGTGACGGTGGAAAGGATCTACGTTTGTTTACAAGTCGAGCTTTACACTGTAGTCTATGTTCCCCGGGGCACACTGAACTCAACACCCACCCAGCACATGTACATACACTGACTCAGACAGAACTTTAACTTGCTGTTGGGGAAACTGAAGCCCCTGAAGAGTATGTGTAGGCACAGGGAGAACATGCAAACTGTATTGGAAGGTCCCATAGTAGAATTTTCTTTCCACAAGGGATGCAGGAAAATCTATCTTCAGACAAGAGTTTAGGATTTAAAGCTTTGATTTCTCATGAATAATTCTGTTGCCACACAATCTGATGCTTGGGGTTGAGAGCTGATTGGCCGAGTGAGGGCGGTCCTATTTTTTTTTTTCTGTCTGAAAAAGCTGATTTAAAGATGTGGCCAAGGCCAGTGATTGGACCAAACTGTTTTTATAACAGTTATTTTAATTTAAGCTTTGAAAAAGTTAGTTCTGCTGCATTACCGCATGTTTCGGTGGAAGACTTCTTCAGAGGAGAGATGTCTCTGATCAGCTGCACTTTCTAATGGACTGGGACGATGCAGAAATAGTGGGAACAGAAGAACACAAATACAAAATATGGAGGATACAAGATTGAAACCAGGAAGCGGGGCACACAGACCATCAACAGAGACCAGGGGGCTTAAACCTTGTCTCACACTCGGGACTCACTTCTCCAGAGACCACAGGAGGGGGTCTGATCAGAGACACGTCCCACCGTCACATGTCTCTGACCAAGGCCGACATGTGGTAATTACTCAGAACTAGCTTCTTCTTTACACTTGGTCTGAAAATAACCTTCAGAGCCTTAAACATAAAAGAAGACATAATCAACTTTTTACATCTTTTTCATTCCACAATCTGAGGCCTTGGGCTGAGCTCTGATTGGCCGAGTGAGGGAGGTCCTTTCCTTTTCATTATTGTCTGAAAAAGCAGATCTGAAGACGTGGCCGAAAATTACATGCGTGTGAAAACCAGATGGATTTTATAACAGTCAGAGAGATAGGTACTCAAGCTTTAGTTTCCCCAGATTCAGAACCAGACATGGGGAGGCAGCTTTTCAGATTTATGGAGCTAAAATCTGGAACAATCTTCCTGAAGATGTGAGGCTGGTATCTACTCGGGCAGTTTTCAAATCCAGGTTAAAAACAGTTCTGTTCAGCTGAGCTACAACTGAAGGATTTTATAATAACTCTTTTTAATGCATTGTGGCTATTTATTATTCATGAATAATAAATGTGTGTGTTTTTAATGTTTTAAGGTCTTTAATTACTTGAGATTTTATTCTGTTTTGAATATTTCATGTGTTTTTTTCATGTATATTTAATGTTTGTGATTTGCTTGATATGATGTGGGTTGTGCGGCGCTTTGTGTTGCCTTGTGTAGCAAAGGCGCTATACAAATAAGTTGATTGATGGATTGTAAAGTGAATTTTCCCCACACGTTTTCAGTCCAAACAGCGGTGAAGTTGGGCCTTGAAATCCCCTCCTCTCCCGCCTCGCTCTGACGTTCAGTCTCTGTGGCTCGCCGCTGCCTCGGCCTCAGAAGCAGAAGCAAACGGGCTGTAGCGTGGGTTTAGCAGGATTAGCATTTTTAGCACATGTATCTGCTTACGTTAATTAGCGGCGGTAATGTAAGTTCAGCGTGCCTGCGGGAGGTGGGCTGTTTTGTTCGACGTTATCAAAGCTGCTCGCTCTGATCCCTGGCTGCGTGCTCATTACGGTCTCATACAGCCCTCGCTCCGGCGGCGGCGGTCTACAAACAGGGAGACAAGCGAGAGCACGTTACCAAATGAGGGAGAACAGACGGACACAATATGGAGGATTCGATCTGAGAGTGTTCTGTGTAAATGAGAACAAGGGCGGGTTTCAAACACGAACCATGAGAATCTGACTCTGGTTTAGAGTTTTCAACGAGATTTAAAGGTTTGTTCTGTAGGAGGATTGCCTACTTCTGGGTGGATCGTGAAGACTATTGGTCCTCCCAGGTGTCAATCATTCTGCTGATATGTGTTTTGTTCAAAAAGTGGAGAAGGTGGTTCCTTTCAAAGATTTGGGGTAGTCTTTTTAAGTAGCAATATGTACGATTTTAATATAAAGTCATGATTAAAGGGCTCTAATCTGTCCAAAGGCATTAATGAAACATGTTCTTTTCCAACACTTCTTTAACTGATCACAGTCGTTCAGAGATATTTGGATTTCAAAATGAGTTTTACAGCCTCTAAAAGTGTAACAGATACAGTTTTCCTCATCATAATACAGGATATTTCCATTTACAGTACCGGCTTAAGTCACCTCAACATAAATATATATATATGTACTGTATAAACATTGTATAAACTAAACCAACATAGTAAATTACATGAAAAAATAGTAAATTAAAATAAAAGCTGGAGTAGTGTAAATGAGATAAAAGTCCTGTTTGTCACAAACAGAACTTTTTCTGTTTCTGTTTTTAATTTGTGAACTTGGATTGGTTTATTGTTTTTTTGGCTAGTTTTGCGATAAGCTCTTGTTGTATCCTTTGCTGGTCCGGTGTGTTGCTGGTCTGGTGTGTGGCAGGTCTGGTGTGTGGCTGGTCTGGTGTGTGGCAGGTCTGGTGTGTGGCTGGTGTGGTGTGTTGCTGGTGTGGTGTGTTGCTGGTCCGGTGTGTTTCTGGTCCGGTGTGTTGCTGGTCTGGTGTGTGGCTGGTCTGGTGTGTGGCTGGTCTGGTGTGTTGCTGGTCCGGTGTGTTTCTGGTCCGGTGTGTTGCTGGTCTGGTGTGTTGCTGGTGTGGTGTGTTGCTGGTGTGGTGTGTTGCTGGTCTGGTGTGTTGCTGGTGTGGTGTGTTGCTGGTCCGGTGTGTTGCTGGTCTGGTGTGTTGCTGGTGTGGTTTGTTGCTGGTCCGGTGTGTTGCTGGTCCGGTGTGTTGCTGGTCTGGTGTGTTGCTGGTGTGGTTTGTTGCTGGTCCGGTGTGTTGCTGGTCCGGTTTGTTGCTGGTCCGGTGTGTTGCTGGTCTGGTGTGTTGCTGGTCCGGTGTGTTGCTGGTCTGGTGTGTTGCTGGTCCGGTGTGTTGCTGGTCTGGTGTGTTGCTGGTCCGGTGTGTTGCTGGTCTGGTGTGTTGCTGGTCTGGTGTGTGGCAGGTCTGGTGTGTGGCTGGTCTGGTGTGTGGCTGGTCCGGTGTGTTGCTGGTGTGGTGTGTTGCTGGTCCGGTGTGTTGCTGGTCTGGTGTGTTGCTGGTCTGGTGTGTTGCTGGTGTGGTGTGTTGCTGGTCTGGTTTGTTGCTGGTCTGGTGTGTGGCTGGTCCGGTGTGTTGCTGGTCTGGTGTGTTGCTGGTCCGGTGTGTTGCTGGTCTGGTGTGTTGCTGGTCTGGTGTGTGGCAGGTCTGGTGTGTGGCTGGTCTGGTGTGTGGCTGGTCCGGTGTGTTGCTGGTGTGGTGTGTTGCTGGTCCGGTGTGTTGCTGGTCTGGTGTGTTGCTGGTCTGGTGTGTGGCTGGTCTGGTGTGTGGCTGGTCTGGTGTGTTGCTGGTGTGGTGTGTTGCTGGTCCGGTGTGTGGCTGATCTGGTGTGTTGCTGGTCTGGTGTGTTGCTGGTCCGGTGTGTTGCTGGTGTGGTGTGTTGCTGGTCCGGTGTGTGGCAGGTCCGGTGTGTTGCTGGTCTGGTGTGTGGCTGGTCTGGTGTGTTGCTGGTGTGGTGTGTTGCTGGTCCGGTGTGTTGCTGGTCCGGTGTGTTGCTGGTCCGGTGTGTTGCTGGTCTGGTGTGTTGCTGGTCCGGTGTGTTGCTGGTCCGGTGTGTTGCTGGTCTGGTGTGTTGCTGGTGTGGTTTGTTGCTGGTCCGGTGTGTTGCTGGTCTGGTGTGTTTCTGGTCCGGTGTGCTGCTGGTCCGGTGTGTTGCTGGTCCGGTGTGTTGCTGGTCCGGTGTGTTGCTGGTGTGGTGTGTTGTTGGTGTGGTGTGTTGCTGGTCTGGTGTGTGGCTGGTCTGGTGTGTTGCTGGTCCGGTGTGTTGCTGGTCCGGTGTGTTGCTGGTCTGGTGTGTTGCTGGTGTGGTGTGTTGCTGGTCTGGTGTGTTGCTGGTGTGGTGTGTTGCTGGTCCGGTGTGTTGCTGGTCTGGTATGTTGCTGGTCTGGTGTGTTGCTAGTCTGGTGTGTTTCTGGTGTGGTGTGTTGCTGGTCCGGTGTGTTGCTGGTCCGGTGTGTTGCTGGTCTGGTTTTGTTGCTGGTCCGGTGTGTTGCTGGTCTGGTTTTGTTGCTGGTCCGGTGTGTTGCTGGTCTGGTGTGTGGCTGGTCTGGTGTGTTGCTGGTGTGGTGTGCTGCTGGTCCGGTGTGTTGCTGGTGTGGTGTGTTGCTGGTCTGGTGTGTTGCTGGTCTGGTGTGTTGCTGGTGTGGTGTGTTGCTGGTCTGGTGTGTTGCTGGTGTGGTGTGTTGCTGGTCCGGTGTGTTGCTGGTGTGGTGTGTTGCTGGTCCGGTGTGTTGCTGGTCTGGTGTGTTGCTGGTGTGGTGTGTTGCTGGTGTGGTGTGCTGCTGGTCCGGTGTGTTGCTGGTGTGGTGTGCTGCTGGTCCGGTGTGTTGCTGGTCTTCAGGATCAGCCTCAGATGTTATTATTAGAATGGCCTTTTACCGACACGCTTCAGACTCATGTATTTGAAATTTGCCTTTGAATTGAACTGTTGTGTTGACATCTGTTGTGGCCTTTTAATGGAATTTGAACAGTGTTTGTTGTTAGCGGAGATCGTTGCTTGAAGTGGTCTGTATCTCTCTGGTCTGTAGCTCTCTGGTCTGTAGCTCTCTGGTCTGTAGCTCTCTGGTCTGTAGCTCTCTGGTCTGTATCTCTCTGGTCTGTAGCTCTCTGGTCTGTAGCTCTCTGGTCTGTAGCTCTCTGGTCTGTAGCTCTCTGGTCTGTAGCTCTCTGGTCTGTAGCTCTCTGGTCTGTATCTCTCTGGTCTGTAGCTTTCTGGTCTGTAGCTCTCTGGTCTGTAGCTCTCTGGTCTGTAGCTCTCTGGTCTGTATCTCTCTGGTC